AAGCCAGTGCAGAGACCGGAACTAATATGGTTGTATTTCCTGGTTCTGCTCAAGACTAAAAAATAAGTAGATATAAATAAATTATAATGCTAATGGAAATCTTAAATGCACTTTCCATGCGTCTTGCTACATAAATCTTTACAGTAGTAACTCCAGACCAAGGGCATATACCGGGGTACTCCCTGTTTCTCCCCTGGTAAATATAGTCAAAAGACAATATGAAAACACTGTCCTATAACAATAGCCAGGTTCCTGGAACAGGATCTTGGTGTGAAAATTGGCCTTTAGCTGTGCAAATAATTTTCCAGTCTTCCTGGCTTGGCCTAAGCACACAGTATTCAGAAGTTTGGGGGGGGTTGCAGGGATAGACCTGTCTGAGAGGATGCTCCCATTGAGTTGTAAATGAGCTTGTAATTAGCTCCTACACATTAGCCAGGGGGGGACTTAAGAGTTTGTGTGCATGCGTGTGTGTGTAAATGTCATTGTGGGTTTTGTAACCCATTTTCCTTCGAATAGGGGTAACGATGATAAGCAGATAATACTAATTACTTCTCCTCCCAATTGCTTGTTAATTGTGCTTGGTGTGGATTTATACCCCCCCAGTTCCACACACGCTCACTGCAGTGCATTACCAGTGCTTTGTTGACTAAATCAACAAGTTTTTTTTTTTTTTTTTTTTTTTTAGGCCTTGGCTTTGATTTTAGGCCTTTTGGCAAAACCCAAAAACCGGACCAAAATCTTATTACCCTTTGCAACCAAAAAATATTAGCTACATTATTCAAAAATTTTATCTTTTGCAGAATTAACAGCATAAACTTTATAAATACTCATGTATTTGGATTTCTTTATATAGATAAAAAAAATCAGTTGCAAATATGTTTTATGTTGTTTATTTGGTGATATATCTGATCTTACAGAGAACAAAGCAACAAGTTTCTAGCAACAATTGAGTTCTAGCCAAAATTTAAAAAGATAGATTAGTTTTTATATACTTCATGGTTCTATTTTGGTCTCCTTTATCTATGTGTGGCAAACTTTACTGCCCCCTTATAAAATAAACATAAAACATACACAGAAAATTCATAAAGGAAAAACTCTAAAACACCTAAACTTAAGGACTGATGTCACAGCATCCTTTTAGCCCTTTAGCAACGAGTGTATCATATTTGATACATATTTTGAGACTTCTACATCATTAGAAAAATCTGAGTTATAAAAGCAGAGTAGTGAACAGGAAACTTAAAATAAAATAGCACAGAAATTCCTAATGTCACCCAAATTAAACAAATGAAAGTAATATAAATTGTCTAATTTAATTCATTCAAAATTTATATTTTTTGTATTGGTTAGACACAATGAACTATAGTTAAAAAAAATTTAATTTATGACAATTATTTCATAGTCTAGGCTTTAAAGTGTTAAAGCCACAAATCAAAACTTTTTGCACAAAAAATCTTTTAGAATAAATTGGTTCTAAGTCAGTGCTCCACAATATGGGCCTGTGCTATCATATCAACACACAGAACTAGTTCATAGGGACATAACCACAGGTTGATCTGTGATGTTTCTTCGTGTACTTTAATAAAGTTATAAAATAAGTATTAATCTTCTTGTCTCCACCTTTACCCACCCCACCCCAACCTACTGCTCTCCACCCACTTAAAAACACGTACATCATCTGTTCATCCCATCAACCATCTTATTATTCGTCTTATTCTAACGGCTTGAGTGCGCTTAAGCAGATTTTGATCCAGTCTGCTCTTAAAAAATGTTAAACAGATTGGGTTCTCTGTGTGTGTTAGGGGTGGGGGTTCTTTCCGATGAAGGTAAATGTTTGGCCAAGCGAGGGCGCGTCTGCATGGTAGAGATGCAAAGTGTCTAAAACTTGGAAGGGTTAGATTAAATACAAGCATAATCGTCAGTGAGCTCATTTCTCCCCTTCTGTGCCAAACAGTGTTACTGACACATTTAACCCCCCTTTTTTCTATTAACAAACCACCCCCAATGCTCTATTTAATATAGATCTAGGATCTAAGAGACGATTCCTGACTGTTTATACAATAACTCCCCCTATATTCCCTTCTGTCTATGTAAAAAGAAATCCAAAAATACATTTAATATCAATATCATAAAAAGCCCAGAATCAGCTGTATTTCACTTGAAAAAAAAAGAAAATGGTTTCATCTTTTCTCCAATTTTCTTCTCATTAAAAGAAAGCTATGATCATTTTTTATCAGCAAACTCAACCCTACATTTAATAATACTGTTATAAAGAATATCTTCTTTATCAGCAGTTATTTTTAGTCTATATAAATAACTAAAAATGATATTAAATTTGTCAAACCTATTTAAAAACAAACTAAGTAGCAATACACATTTTAATAAACAGCCTTCTTATACGCCATAATGCCAAAACAATTGATACACTTGCTTTAACCAGATGAGTTTAATTGACGATTTATACGTATATATGTTTAATAAAAATATACTTTTTAAAGATCTTGGTCCAACCTTTAGAGTGGTGATTTTTGATTCTTTCAGGAGAGCAATGATTAGGTCAAAGAATGATGTTGAATTAGAAGCCTCTAAAGAATTAATTGTTTCGATGAATAAAGATATTAGACTTTCAGCATCTTCTCAACCCAATTTTGCTGGCGTGGCGTAAGACATATTTTAGCGTGTTAACATCTCTTCCAACAGATGTAAGTACATTTCTGCAAAAACTCAGGCTTCGTTATCTTGTGCAAATGTAGCACATAAAAATCAGAAGTAGGGGGGATGAATATATACAGATAATACTCATCCTATCTAAATAGAGTGTCATTATAACCGGAGAGGATGAGTCCTAGTTCGGTATTATACTCGCCAATGCTGCATTTTACTTATTGTACTTTATTTGAAACTGAAATCTCAATTACAATGCAAATTATAGTTGACAATAAAGATTGATTTTGATATACTTCTTCATTTTAAATCCCCTTTATTTTCTTTGCTCATTTTCCTCTCTGATAGGTTAAAAGTTGAAGTATATGCACCATTTTTGTATGCAGATTTATTATCCCCTTTTTTATTGCAGCTGTTTTTAAGTGTTTAAGCGCTAATAATAAAAAGTTATTTTCAAAATAAAGAGAAACAAACTGACAAAAACGGTATTGTTCATTTTCAGGCCTGGCCGCTAAATGGCCCCTAATCTTACATTTACTCTGAAAATTTGTAGCGGGAGTTTTTGCCGTATGTTTGAAATTTTTAGAAATAACGCAGATTAACAGTTTTTTTCTATTTTCTGCAGTGCTGGTAATCCACAGTTTTTATTACTTTTGCTTTTAAACTTTCCATAAAGACTAAAGAGGTCTAAAAACAGCATTTTCAGCTGAACTTTTAAAGCCTTCGATTTCGCCGTACAGTTTGAGCTGTAGCTGAGTACAACTATTGAAAATATCGTACAGTGTATACCCAGGCTTTAAAGTAAACTGCCAGTGCGCTCTATACCACTGCAACCACTGCTATAGATTTTAGTTGGTGATATAAGGAAGTGGCAAAACACTCTGGTCCTTAGCAACCTCTGTCCTGCATATATTTAAAATGTGTCTTTATTCTAATAAATCTAATTTAAGAGATCAGCAGCCATCAACTGCTGCAGAAGCCTTTTAATCGTCCATATGTTTAAGGTGTTTGCCACATGGAGACACCTCAAAAACAGGCAGGAAAGGGGTCCCTGAGTACCTGAGTTAGGAAGCACTGATATAAATGTTTGTGTTTTTATGGCATGAAATTAGTTTCAGTCCCATAAAAGACTAAAAAAATTTTTTTTTTTTGACAATTCAGATAAAAAAAATGTTGGTGATGCTTTCTTGCATTTTCTAAACTACTTATTTTGATCAATTAGATGCTATCATTATTTATTGTTGCACAACAGGACTTAAATTGTCCACATTTAAATATAAAACTGGCTTAAGATACAGAATCAAAACAAGTTGAGACTCTTTTTGCTTATTGATCTGTTGCTCATAATATCTCTATTCTAGACAGATTTCTAGACAGGATTTTTTTGGGGGCCCTGTACTTCTTTTTAACCGCGACTTCACCTGACTGCAACCTTTGTTCAAAGCCTTAATCACTCAGGAAAAAAAAATCTATATCAGGCTTTAACAGTCTGTTGCAAGAATATCCAACTTCCAAACTGATTGTGTTTGGAGCATATTTATTTAAGCTAATTTAGGCAAATTAAGTCTAACATGCTTGGGAATTAGCTAACAGACGCTTACAGGATCTGTAGTCTGATTAATAAGAAAATGATCCTTAGATTGATTAATGAGCTACTGAGATCAGAAGGACTGAACCAGTTTGCAGATTATTTACATGGTGTCCTGAGTTGCTCTGTCTTATGTGTGGATCTGCAGCGGCTTCCCCAGTTAGTCCTGGTCTGATGAGGGGTCGCAGGGGACAGCCTATCTGTTACCCCTGTCTGTTTTAATTACAGGGGTATTAGCTGGTGGTGAGGGGGGGCTTTGTGTCCCGACATCTACCCTTAGGCAAATATCAGGAGGATATGATATTATTTTGTTAATTATGCAAAAAAAAAATTTAAAAAAGGAAGAAAAAAACTAACAATATTCTGCTAAATCAATTTGAAAATAGTCAGCGACCTTTATGTGATGCCTCTTAGTCAGAGAGTGTTTTGTTGTTTCTGTAAAACTATTTCTTGATGCATTCGGTCCGGGTCATCTCTGCTCCTGAAACTGAGCTTTATCTCCTCAAGATCAGACCTTTTAAATAATCTTTCCTCACTTGTTTGCTCACTGCAGTCATCCTGGCAGTCAGTGTATCCTCAGGCTAAGCCAAACAAGCTGATCAGGCAGGCACCTCTGTACACACTACCCCCCACTAAGAGGCTAATGGCCGGGATGTATAATCCTTCTCAAAACAACCACAGAGATGCTAATTGTATCTACCTATAAATACTAGCAACTCCTTGTCCTCTTTCTTCATTTGTCTCAGCTTCATCCTGTGATGGTGGAGCCAACAGCGTCTTCCCAGAAGTATTTATAACTAAAAATACCAGGAGAGGCTGTCCAAGGTGTGGCGAAACCGGCAACGCCTTCCAAAAAAAGCAACAGGTCCAAGGAGCATCACACAAGGATATACCCTTTCATGTGGGAGGTCAACGTTTCTCAGCTGAGCAACAGTGAAGCAACGAGGTGAGATGTTCCCACTGCCGATGTTCACACCTGACCAAGTGGCTCGGGTGTGCGAGAACCTGGAGGAGACCGGGGATATCGAGCGCCTGGGTCGGTTCCTCTGGTCTCTGCCCGCCGCCGTACCCGGCTCTGCAGGGGAGGCGCTCAACAGGCATGAGTCTGTGATGAGAGCGAGGGCGCTGGTGGCTTTCCACAGCGGGAACTTTGAGGCTCTTTATCAGATCCTCCAGAGCCACAGGTTTACCCGGGAGTCCCATGCCAAGCTCCAAGACCTCTGGCTGGATGCTCACTACAGAGAGGCGGAAAGGCTGAGGGGGCGGCCGCTGGGCCCTGTGGAGAAATATCGGATAAGGAAGAAGTTCCCATTGCCTCGCACCATTTGGGATGGAGAGCAAAAGACGCACTGCTTTAAGGTAAGAATTGAACACCAGCAGAAAATAAAGAAAACAATCATATCTAAATGTGAATGTTTTTTAGATTGCAAAAGGATTATGTCGACAATTTAAAATTTTTTTTATTGAAGCTGTGAATGTCTGGAGTAAAAAAAGGCTGCGGTTTGAGTTATTAAAGTGCTTTTAAGACGATCAGAGCTGCAGTCATCCCTCAGCAGGTCTAAACTATTTCAATCTGTTGCAGAACTTTTCCCAATTTATAAGATTCCAAAGCTGGGGTTGCAAATTGAATGTGAGGAGCTCTTATCTTTAGCAGAAATCAAACGAAATAACAAGAATGATAATGATAAATAAAAAAAAAAATGAAATGCTTTCAATGTTACAAAAAATATATAAACAACAGGACAGACAAAGTGACAAAAAATGCAATATATATATATATATAT